TGTCATCCATCAGACAGCCGCCGCCAGGAGTGAATGGAAAGACAGCGCAGAGTCTTGACTGTATCTTATCACGTCCTAATGACTGCGATGACAATTCTATATTAACCATGGAGATAGAGTTTACTCTATCTTTTATTGCCTTTCTGATGATATCCAGACTCGGCGAAGGATTATTTTTAGGCCAACGATGTTGGATTCATTAAAGTCTTGTCACACGACCACAGAGTGAGTCAAATTTCCCGAATTTCCCACAAGAAAAACTGTCTGATTAGCCAGCAAGATCGATATAGATATTAAGACTTCGTTGCAACTTTAAATTCATACAAGGTGTTGCAAGATTGCGATTAGTATATTATACGAATGTGGTGAATTTATCTTCTGTCAAGCCTGAAACGTTTAAAGCCCGGAAAATTCACGTGAAAATCAAGGGAATAGACAAAATGGATGTTTTTATGTAAATAAACACATATTTATTGGATTATTCTGACCATTTGTGCACATTTCAATGCACCAGATTGTGGTTATGTGTTTCCGGAAGTCTTTTCGACCTTTTTCAACTCATTTTCAAGTATATGAAAAGCTATATTTTCATTCAATTTACTGTTCGCACGTAAATGTCATCTCAAAGACATCTTCCTGGACATTCTGACCAGCAGAATCCTTCAAGAATCCTACCGGAAACAACGCCCAATGTCCGGAACAGTCGCGAATGAAGGTGTCTTGTCACTGGGATTCACTATTTCGCCCAAACATTTCTTGGTAATTGCCGAAAACTTCTGGAAGCTGGAATATTCTGCCCTTTTATCTCGCCACTTCACAAAATGATCTTTCTGACAGCTGAAATTCATACTAAATAAACTCTATCTTTGCCTTGCAACGTCTTTTCGTTCGTATTTCATTTGTAGTTTACACTAGCGCCGCCGGACGGCCGCCAATATAAGCTATGAAAATGTAAAGTTGCAACATCAGATTAGTATTTTACACGGACTGAAATACGAAATCAGTAAAGTTGCAACGACGCGTTTCTTTGTATAATTTACTACACGCCCTGTATTCATATTCAAGTTATCTTTCTTTTTAATATTCTACCACTTTTGTTTACTCGAAGTTGCGCTGTTGAAGGCTTTGACTTCTCAGAAAACCTAAATTTCCCGTTTTGTGATTTTTATCAAGAACATGGAATTGTGTAACAGTTAAGAGGAGAGCAAAAAAAAAAACGTGAATTACTTTTGTGGTGTGAGATTAATTTTAGACTTGTCTTCTTGCGACGCCGCGAGACGTTGCGAAAAACCCAAGTCATTCCCAAAAACCTTGACATTGGCTCTGCCTCAGTGATTCTACTGATGATGATGCTTTTTATTCAGATTCAATTTTTCTCTCGCTTGCCAATTTCTTGCCAAGATTGCCAATTCCGTGCGCGCAATTGAAATGTGCGGTGCGGATGCAATTTTTGATCAACCTGTTGCCGTACTTTCACTGATTTTCGAGAGGCTGATTTATTTGGCGATAGGGAAATTCCTTCGCGGCCTTTCTCAATTGCACACTTTGGGTGTGTTGTGTGGGGCTCTTATGTAAGTTAATTTGTGTGCATCGCCCAGGTTATTGACATCTCTCTGTGAACATACTCGAGATCTTGCGGTCAATCGTCGCGATGAGAGTGTGACAAATATGCTTATCAGCCACGCTCGTTATCGATGCTCTTTAGCATGGTGTGTGTGTGTGTCTCAGGTGAAAAGCGTCACGATGACAAACTATCTGCTTAGTTACTTTTTTTCTAACCGTGTGTACAATCCGTGGATTATGTAATCGATTTTTTGGGTGAGACTCTGGCGATTGGAATTTGATGGAGATTATGTTGATTTTTTTTCCGTGACACATGCGTGAAAGAATCCCCAGTGAAATTACATTATCATTCTGTATCCATCTCACGTATTGATAGAAAATATATGCTTCAAAAATTGTGGCACTTTCCACAAGACAAAGGGGAGAATTTCGCCCAAGAAATCTTATATCTGAGTGAGAAAGAGAGTTTTTTTCGGTTGTGACCTTGATGAATGCAGTAAAATTTACCTTGAAAAATCTTCAGTGCCAAAAAAACCACCTTTCAGCAAAACTCTGTCCCCAAAATTCACACTTTTTTCACTTCGCGAGGAAAAAGAACAGCACAAAAATCTACTCCAACAGACACCAAAAAAACGACTCTTGAAGTTGCAATTTAAATTTAATTCTACTTTTACTTTCAATTGTGCGTTGCCTGAGGATGGAAAAGACACAGTCTGAGAGGTGAAAAAAAAAGTTCACTCAAGATATAACTTTTGGCGACTCCTTTCATCCACACAACAACACTCTTTCTGTCTCTGTCGCGTGACCCTTTCTTTGCCAAGAGAGTCAGATGTTTGCACGAATTTTTTGGGGCTCTGATGAAGATATTCTCTGTGGTATTTTGGCGAAAAAGACTGGGTGTTGATTAAAATCTTCCTCCTTTTTTTCTCGCGTCTCCCTCACTACATTCACGCCAGCACAGTGAAATGTGGGGGAAAGAGAAAATTTTTCACTCACGGAGCTTCGGCTTGATGGTCGTTCTGTCTGTCTCTCAGCGATAAACTAACAAGCGACATGCGCTATCGCACTTTGCCAACCGCGCCAACCATCCAAGTAACTCACGAGCATGGGAAAGAGAGAGACAGAGCGAGGAGAGGGCAATATGGCTGCGACAGGGACGGCCGTCTGTCGGGCAGGGCGCAACAGTGGCGAGAGTGAGTGAAACGACAGCGGTTGCTGTGAGAGACCGGGAAAGAGACAGAGAGAAATCACAGCTGAATGTTTTTGCGCAGCTGCGAATGGCGTTGTAGGCAAAATCACCAGATAAAAGGACATTTTCCGTCCTCCAACGAAGTCAGAGTGTCTCAAGCAGAGCCTCAATTGAGATTTCACCTCAATCCTTCGTCTGCACTTTGGTTGATCGTCCTTTTGACGCACTGATAAGATCTTATTTGCAAAAGGCGTGATGAAGACATTATGGAAAAAGTCATAGTGATAATCTGACCATTTCACTCTAACTTCGCGAACTACTTGCTGTCTCTGTCCTTCTCGCAGAGTGGAAGAGAGACAATTGTATGTGTTTTGTCGTGAGAGAATGCAATATTGGTAGCAATTGGACTGAATATGTGTGTGTGTTTGTGGGAAAGTTTACTTTGAAAGCTCAAAAGTGTGGAGAAACTGCTAGAAAAGAGTTCTCGATGACTCACCATTGAGGTCAATTTGCATCCCAAAACACTTCCCCTCATTCTAATCATCTGGGTCAGGCTTTGTCAAGACGATGAAGACGGGTCAAGACGCCTTTCGGCTTATTCTCGCGCTCTCTCAATGTGGCAGAACTGCTAGAATTTCAGCAGAAGCCAATTTCCCTGATGTCACGATAAAGTAATAATTCCAATCATTGGTGCATGTCAAGGCAGAATGGGAAAAATCATACATTTACTCTCTCTTTTTTTGCTCCCATTAGAATTTCATGGTGAGCAGCCATCTCAATATTTCCTGCACAGCCATGGAGAACTTATTAAAAAGAAGCGTCTTTTGTATTGAAAACAGCAAGACAACAAGACAAAAAAAAACTCCTCTATTTTGTTTACTCGTTTCCAATTCACTCCTCTTGACAAAATAATGATTTTGCAAAAGTGACTCATGTTCGGCAAATCGCCGAATATGTGTGCGCGCGTGTATGTTGGTATTAAAAGACATGGGAATTTGCAAAAAAGCCACCAAGATTATCAATAGGAGTGTTAGATTTGACCACAATTGTTTCTTTTGCCTCCCATTGTGGCCCGGAATTGGGAGAGAAGCGTTGCAGTTTCACGTTATAGAAAATTCAATCTTCGCTGTTGATTAAAATACTGAATCACTTCCAAGGGTCACTGAGATCAGTGTGAGGCTTTCGCAGAAACCGTTTTTCGGGTGGGAAATTGAAATTTTGAAGGCTGACAAGCGAATCTCCTGTCACATTAAACTTGTAAGCTGTCAAAATTTCTCAACAGCCATTAAACTAACTAATATTACGATGCTCATAAAAATCATGATATATTTTCTTCGCACTTATGCTTGACTATTTCGCGAAAGGGAATTTAATTCCATGAAAGTGTCATGCTTTTGCAAATCTATGGGTTTTACGCAAGTTTAGTGATTTATAACAAAACCAAGGGGGAGATAATATGGCTAAAACATGCGTTTTCAACCGCCTAAAGTATCATAACCTCAAACTTAGGAAACTTTGTCCCTAAAAAAGACGCCTTTTTTACTTTTATAACCCGGAAAACTCAGAGAGAAACAGTATTTTAGAAATATTTGAAGTTTCCAGTGGATATTTTGATGTGATTTGCTCTTTTGCATGTACTTTGAAACATAACCTAGAAATTACGTTGAGATATCGAAAAGAATTCTTGAAAGAAACTTGTTCGGAACGTTTTAAAGGCAAAGAAAATCGACAATGAGCTGAAATTTGCTATTTTAGAGTAGAAAATCAATCAAACAGCTCTTAAAATAGTCAATATTTTAGAGGTTATGATCAATTTTAGCACAATTAACACAGTTTTAAACTGAAAGCTTATGATCTTCATCAGATTTCATTATTATCTCAACAAGTGAATGCAAATTGTTCCAGTTTAGGCGCAGAACTTGATGATTTTGAAGGTTAATTAGTGGCAAAGTTTGTCTTAAATTCACAACATAACCTAGAAAGATGTGAAAAACAGTTTTTTTCTCCAATTATTGTGTTAATTTCCTTTGAAAGTGACTTTTGAACACACTATATTGAAAATTTGCAAGCATTTCCACTTCCAAATACTTCCGTGAAATTGTACACCACTTCTGACCATAATATCTCCCCCTTGATCAAAACGCACAATTGCAAAATTAGGCTGACATCATATTGTGGGATCTTTTATGCAAATTTGGAGGCAATAATTTATCATGGGTGATAGTTAGATGTGACATAAGAAACTCACTCTTCTTGCAGCTCAATTCCACTGTCATCGAGTCCATTGGCCGGGTTGGTTGGCGTCTTGTCGCTGGAAGCGGCAGCGAAGTCAAACTCGCGTTCTGCATGCTCGGGAAGTGGTGTGGGTGTCTCAAAGACGAGAGTCTCCACCATGGATCCCTTTGATGAGCCAAAAGAGACTCTAAAAATAAATGGAGGACGAAAGGAGGTTAATGTACTGCAATGTTTGTGTGTCTTTTCCCTCCTGACACACTCATTTTTAATCCATTAAACATACTTTTGAAGGCAAAACTCTTGTGCTCCCCATTAACTTCTCTTATATGAATAGAGATTCTCCTGCTGGCTTTTCCCTTATGTGCGCCGCGAATGTATTTTCTTCCCTCAGAATAGAGCAATAAAAGATAATGTGCATAAATGTGTCAGGTTTTTACAGAATGTTTTCAGCCATATCGATCTCGGCGGCGTATTAGAGCGTGTCGTGAAGTAAATTATAAAGTTCTGGCCTGGCTTTTTTTTTATGGATATATTATTTCTGTCATGTCATAAAAAATCAACGTCACACATTGGCGGAATGCTGAATAGATCAGCACAACTAGAAAAGCATGGAAATTGTGTGTATCTGGCTTGACAGCTGTTGATTGGAGGTATTTTCATGCGAATTTACTCAAAATCACGCAATTTCACTCCATTTTTCCCTCGACGAAAAGGCTAAAAATGGCCAAAACTAATTGAACAACTAGATTCAAGGGGTTGCTAATGTGGATGATAAGCAATTTTCTTCAATAAACTGTCTATCAATATTCATTTCGCACCGCAATTTCCCACTAAATCTGTGCTGAAAATTTTTATTTCCCCCAAAACACTTCTCAATTTTTGCATATTGTGATCAAAACCCCCGCTAAATAACTATTTTCACACCTGAATTTATCCATTTCCCCATAGAACTCTTCATAACATTTTCTTTAACACTTTATTGTCCATTTTCGGGCTTAAAACTTCGCCTAAGAACTCTTTTTTAAGCTCAAAATGTTATTTTTCACCACATTTCTCATTTGGAAAGCTACTAAAATTGCATTTTCGCGTCTTTTTCCCTTCATTGAAAGACATTCAAAAATTTACATTTAAATTCTACACTGAAATATCTTAAAATCCGCTTAATTTTCTAGTTTGAATGAAATTTTGAGGCATTTGCATGGAATTCAAGTTCTTTATGGTTTCGTTTGTTTCTTTACCAAAATATCTAAATTACAAATAATCATCTCGACTGGCATCTTCGATATTAGCAATCTCTTGACTAGATTTAACTCTAATCCAGCGTGTGTGCACAAGCATTAGATCTCTTCTCTAGAATACCGCATAAAATGTATTTCAGTGTGAAATGAAATGAAAGAATCTTCTCCATACTCAACAATGCGTCATAACTCGAGAGAGCATCTGTTCTAATTGTTGCAACAATTTATAATAATTGAATTTATGAGTAATTGAGCATCTTCCAGCATGACAACCATAAATGGATTTAGTTCCGGTGTGATTCTGCACTTTATTAATTGCTAAATGCCGCTTTTTCTTAATCTTCTCATGACCCGATTAATCGTGAGTGAACCTCTGCATTTGCCAAAATGAACAATTGACATGCCGTCGAAGAGGAGAAAAGAAGATTTGCTAAATTTATTTTTTTTACTTCACAGAAAGAAAAAAATAGTTGAAATAGTGACAAAGCTTGTTAAACACGATAGTAATTGCCTTTTTTACGAAAAGTTACAAAAAATATGTAAAAATAGGTAATTTTTTGTAAAAATCTCAACATTTTTACGAAATATAACAAATTTTTACAAACTTTTACGAACTTTTACCACCCATCAGTGACCACAGCTGCAAGTGCGAAAGAGACAAATAGATTTTCAGCATTTTTAGTATATTTGTCTCTGTTGTTTCGGTGGCAGCTCAGTTTGTCAAAAAATGGTGGAACAGAACGCATTCGTGTCGTGAAAAGTGCCGTAATTCATGAAATAATGCAGTTTTCACCGCGGAAAAGTAGTGAAAATGTACTTTATGTGCGTCTTCAAGAGTGGAATTGTGTATCTCTGCACCAGACACTATTTGGTAAGTATTTTCTTCCCTCGAATTGGTGAATTTATTCGTCTCATAATTGACCAATTTTCTCTCTTCAGGAAAAAAACATTTCCCGCATTTCCTCACTTCATCAGCAAGTGGCAAGGATATTGATGGGTTTCGCGTATTGTCCAGGACTAATCTAGAGTGTGTCAGAAGTCGCTGAGGATGCAAAGATGACATCATAACCTCACAACTTAACTCCACGGCAACACGACTGGAATCGGGCCGCGAGCATCAGAGAACATCGCCCGGACTTGTCTCCAAATGGGATTGATTCCGGACAGCGTTGGAAGCACGCTGACTTAGAGAGTTTTTCAACGAGCACAGTTGCCAACGCACCAGTGTTCATCTTCAAAAAATGTGAGTTTTACTGATTTTAGAAGTTGTCTTCACGAACAAGAAGGACAAAAGATTGCAAGTCGTTTTATGTCAAATGTAAAAACATTCAAGTAAAATATTCAAATTATAAGTCTTATAATATTTTCTGTAAATAGAAAGTAAAAAAAAAATGTTAAATGTTAAAAAATGGTTAAATTTAAGACAAGTTATATGTATTTCTTTCAGATAATAAAATTATGAAAGAAAAGCAAAATATAGTCTTTTCATTCCAAAAAATTACAAACTCCAGAAAATTTTGCGAAAAGTTACAAGCATTTGTAATCCCATTAGAAGGATCACAAAAGATTACAAACGGCAGGTAAAAATTACGAGCACATATTTTGACGAAAACTTACAAACTATTACGAGCAGATTTGGTAAAATGTGTCAGTTAGATGGTTTTGTAAAAAAAATTACAAAATCTAACAAATGTTTACCCGGAAGACATTTTCACTAGCATGCTCGTAATTTTTCATACGATTTCAGAAATTTTTTACAAAATTTAACAAAATCCTACTAATTTTTTCTTTCTGTGTTGACAATATTCATGGGCAAAATGAGCGTGAAATTGTGAGAATATCATATAAATTGTGAGACGGAAGAGTAAAAACTCACACAGAGAATGTCAGAACAATTTAAATTTATGTGATTTTAATTAATATTTGGGCGGTAATCTAATTGAATCAGAGATGGTTTGTGTTTGAATTTTTTTTTTAGGCGGGAAAACAGACGAAGAAAGGGGGACGAATTGAATTGAATTGGAGCAGTGAGTTTTAGAAGAAGTTTTTTCGGAATGAGATTTCATGTAATTCATTAAGTGTTTACCAAATATTTTCATTTTTCTTGGCTTCCGCGACAGCTTTCTATGGCAAAGAAGGGAAGTCTTTGTCTCAGCGGTAACTCTCTCCCACCTTTGTGTATTCCAAAATAGCACGAGCACTTCATTTCTTTTGCACTTCCCGACACGAGGGAAAATAATGAAAATTCCAGAGGTGAGAGATGCCTATCTAAAGCAAATAAATAATAGTGAGTGGAATCAACAAATCAAATATTTAAATCAAACACAGCAAAGAGTTGTGTGAATTGTCTTTGGAGTCACTCGTCTTGGCTCTCTTTCTTATCTTCTACAATTTGTGCAATTTTATTTATAGCCTGAATTGTACAAGAAGAAAAACTATTACACATTTTCGCGCTTATCTCGCCGAGAGTTTTAATTAAAAGGCATTTAAAAGTGAGTGAAATGCCTTCAAGAATTCCACATAGAATATATATATATATATCGTAAGAAATGCGAAAGCGATAAACTTGGTGACATTATTTACAAATTGCACTACATTTTCTTATCACGAGGCGATTCTTTAAGAAAGCACTGAAATATCTCCAGAACAGCCATACAATTCTAATTGCAAATAATGCCTCAATATGTCATGTTTACCAGACTTTAACATGAGTATTTCAATATGGCAGAAATATTCCTATTTGATGTGATTGATTTATTTGAGGTTTCTCAGCGGAATGTTATGTTTTCCTCAGAGTGTCAAAGGATGTTTTTTTTCCTTCTTTCTTTCTTGCAAGATGAAACATGAGATGTTTATTTCTCTTTACTGCTTTTTGCTCGGCCAGACAATGAAACAATGTATTGCGGAATATTTTGCATGAATTACAACTCTTTGCGAAAGTGTGACAAAGATTATTTGGTTGATTTCCAAACTGGGTGGAATTTATCATCCATTTGACTCCATGAACTAATTCTTTGGGCACAGTTTCAAGCATAAAAATAAACCTTTTGGGAGGGACTTTTTCCAAAGAGAGTGTTGAAATCAAGGGACAGATATATTAGGAAGTGTTTAAGGGTTTTTTCTTCTTAGAAAATTGATTTTATGACAATTTTCTAGGTTATGTGATTGATAAAATCATTGAATTTGTGTTTAAACTGTGAAAAATTTCGCTTTTTCTTGGCAGATTTTAGCCTTCTTGTTCAAAATAACTTCATATTAGTTGAGAAAAAGCTTAAAAGTCAATCATAACCTCAAAAACATTATTTGCAAAAGCTTCTGTTTCAACAAATAAAGGTATTTTCTAAATTATTTGGCTTAGAAAATTGATTTTATCACTTTTGCAGGTTATGTGATTAATTTAAGACAGATTCTAACGATTGGAAAACCCTCGAAATCATCAAATTTGTGTGTTAAACTGGAAAATTTTCTCTTGTTCTTCACAGATTTCAGTCTTTTTCATCAAAGTAACTTTATATTGGTTGAGAAAAAAGCTTAAAAGTCAATCATAACCTTAAAAAGAATCCAATTTCAGCCTAGAAAAAGGTTTCTTTGTCTATGTTTCCGCAGTTTTTGCTTTAAAGAGATAAATTCAACTATATTTACTCATTTTAAGGGTTTATAAATATCTAAACTTAGTCCAAAAAGGATTTTTTAAGTTGAAATCATAACCTAACAATTTGATCAGAATTTTTCAAAGTATCTTCAGAAGACAAAACCTAGATTCGATTGTGAAAATTCAGAATTGAATGTGAGAAACAATTGAATGAGTCTAAAAAGGGATCAAAAATGCCTTTAAAAAGACGTTTGAAAGTGTCTTGAAGTGTTGAAGATTCTGCAGAGGAGTTTATCTCCCCCTTGATTGAAATAATTCTCAACATTTCAAGAATATACTATTGCTTATCTCTGTACA